AAAGAGAGAGAGCTCTCCTTGTCATAAAAGGTAGTGATGTGCTTAAAGTTAAAATCATGTTTGCGAAAGGCTTCCCCCATTAGTTTTTGAGACTCATGCTTAATTAATTGCTTATGATTGGTGTTAGTAAGCCAGACTGTCCTCACGAGATATGCACCTCACTGATGTGGTTAGATTCTCCTAATAACTATTCCATCATAAGTTGTTAATCACCCGCTACCGACGGTCGAATTTGAGTGTTGCTATTTGAGTTTTTGATGGATTTGAGTCAGTCAATGGTAATGGTTGCAAAGACCTTGAGTGTGGGGTGAAAGGTATGACCATTAGAGCACAACTTGTCCGTTGAGAAAGAAACTACTGATTACAACAAGAGTACAAGGAAATTTTGTGTTTTGTTTTGAGTGGTGAGTCTGTGGTGTGTCATTGTTTTGGATGATTATGTGTTTGTGTTATTTGAGTCGTTGCTTAGGGACAAGCAACAATTGAGTGTGGGGTTGTGATAATCGGCTTTAACATATTGAATTCTTGGACTTTATGTGATTATCTCATGGTATGTTTTAGCCAATTGGTGCTATTTTAGGGCTCACTAACTCGAGAATGGTTGAAAAACCATTACTGCCTAGTGCCATGAGTTTGATATGATACAGGTGGAGAAAGCACGAAAAAGGAGCGAGTGCACAAGCAATAAATCGGGCTCGAAATACTTGTGGACTACTCACTTGGGCTCAAGGCCCAGAGAAATTGGCTGGAGACAAGGAGAGGAGGCGGATTGGTTTTGAGGGTGGCTATTCTTTTGGGCTATGATATTTTTGGTGCGCAAGGCTGGGGAACGAATTCTTTGGTGGGGGGAGGGGGGTAATTACTTGCTTGGCGGGGGATTCTTTAGAAAAAGCAAAAGAAAAGGCAGAAGGCGGAATTATATCAGGAGGAGAATTCTTGGGACATAAATATATTTGGGACACGAAAATTCTGGGCCGTGGAAAAAAGGAAAAGGACGAAAGTCTTGGACGAAGGCTGCGTAGGGAATTGGCTAGCGGTGGACTTTTCTTTGGGACGAAACTTGGAGGCGGCCAGTAATTAAAACGGAGAGTAGCTCGCGCGGAACAAAATTGCTTTTGGGAAAAAGGAGAATTAGCTCGCACGGAACTCTTGGACGAGCAGCTGGGAATATGGCAGCGAGTGGAGCATATCACTAGTATCGCGAATCGGAAGAGAGAATCATATTTTGTGCTTCTATTTGTATCAGTATTTTCTCTCCTTTTCGTTACTAGCATCATGATGAACAAGAACATGATTGTGTGTTTTATTTCCGTCATGAACTAAACCCCAAATTCTGGGGGAAACATCAAAGGATGTAGCTATTTCTAGAATTGATTGATTGATTCGTATTTCTTTTCTTCCAATCTCTATTGCATGAAATTGCTTAATGCTTTGTGTTGACTGGCCACCAATACAATGATTTGTAGTTAATTAGGTTATTAGCGACAGTGAAATCCTAATGACTGAACATATTTCATGTGACATAGTAACTTATCGAAGCGACAGTGGATTAAATAAGGTGCTATGCGGTCTTAAATAGGATATCGATCTTCAGACTATATAGTTAATTCATTGAGCTATGACAGTAGGATTTGAATTGATTATTTAGTACGTAGTAATTCCCGACAGGGATAGCTAGCACATTCGTGATATCCTGGCTGTAGAGAGTTGGATTAAATTGATTGGAATATGTGAATAAATCTGGATAGGATAGGTAGTGAATCTCGGTGTTTCTCCCAGAGCTTCTCCCATTGATTTTCTCCCGATCATTTTACTTTGCTTAATTAGTTTAATTATTTTGCTAGTAGTTAATAATCTCATTAAACCATTTTCACCTATAGTTCGCTCTACAAAATTGATAGAACTTGAGGTTGTACCAGTCCCTGAGAGTCGATACCCGGACTTTCCAGTTTACTATAAGATAGGATTAAGGCATACGCTTTTGCCCTATCAGTTGTCGACCGCGTTGGTCACCAACCAACCAGAGACCTTTATATGCCCGGGGCCTGCATAGGTGCGCGGATCGATGTTTATTCAGTTGCTTTTGGAATGTTCAGTTGGGAAGGGATCATAGTGGTTGGAGATGTAGCGAGTTGGGGGATGTGTCTGTTGTGTATCAGAGAGGTTGAGGCAGACAGTGTTGTCTTGTTTTTGACAAAATCGGAAAAAAGCTCGTTCGGGGGTAGCAAACGACATTTTTTGGGACGAAGTTGGGACCACACCACCTTCGGCAGTCTTCGACTTGCAAGATCTCGAAAAGTTATGCGGAATCAAACAAAAATTCGCGACGATCGGATACCCGAACACAAAGATACGTTCGTTTGAAGTTTCCACCTAGGTTAGGATTTAAAAAAAAAAAAAAAAGCAGATCGCATGGTGGGGGTGCGGTCTGTAAAACCGCCCCCTGCCAGTGCGGTTTTCATCGAAAAAACACGCCCCTGGGTGGCGGTTTTGCAGAAAGGGTGCTATTTTTGGAAATTTTCGGAGTTGGGTGCTATTTTTGGAATTTTTTTTTAAAACAGTGCTACTTTTGGAAAAATCCCAGAGTTAACGTTCATCCCTTTTTCGACTCAAAACATATAAAGCTCAATATTGCTCATATAGTGTATATTTGTATATGTAAAGTGTAGACCACAACAGATGGACGCCTAATTTAGATAAATTTCATACATTATGATGGATGAAAACTTGAAAGGAAGGTCATTTCCAGCCTATGATAATTGCTAAGAGACTAAGTCAATTTACACAAACACAACAATTCATTAACCCATACAATTGTCATAAATTTTTGTTAGGTGAATACTTCTATACTAATCGTAAGATATTTGTCTTAGTTGCATGTATTTTTGTTAAGGGTCAACTATAACTACGTGTTGATTGTTATGTTTTATTCATTATATAAATTATGAATTGTTGCATTAACCGAAAAATTTTCATCGTCAATGATAATGTGATTTTATATTGGTTAATCTGGTTAACCAATTAACCAAACCGATTAAACTTTAGTTTGGTTAATTTGGTTGTTGTATTAGTTTGGACGGTTTGGTTATGATATTATATTTCATGGTTAATGAAATTTAGCCTTATTTGGTTTGGTTATAACCATGGTAACCATTTGAACACCCCTACACATAGAAACTACTAAATACACATTTGGGCAAATACCGAGCAATTCAAAGTCATAATTCATAATGACTAAATATATGTAAAAATGATGAAAAACATGCCCAAAAATGAGATGCTAAAATCATATACTTTACGTGTCATCATCAATATTGACGATGATGAAGCTCGAAGGAGACGCCACAAAATTCCCATCTCGAATTTGCAATTTCGCGAAAAAATTAGCACAAGAAGGAACCAGATTTTCGATTAGGTAAAGATTATCATGAGACTCAAGGATAACTAAATCAAATTCCATAGTAAAAGAGTTGTTTTCGAGATATCCAATTCAATTTAGTGATAACTAGTAACTTAAATGGTTCGATCTTCACTAACCAAACATGATTAATGGTCAATCATAACCGGATACCTAATTATCGGTTATAACCGAATCAAATATTACCACCAAGGTTGGCAAATATGTATATGGCCGGGCGATTTACCAGAGCAGTCAGTTCAACCAGATCTGACTAGAACAGGTCATTTACACAGTTGGAATATACTCTTCTAGTCATATCGAAGTATATTTTAGTGAAGATTATAAAATTCTACCTGAACTAACTTTTAAAAAACGAAGCAATAAGATCATGGTTGAGTTCTACACCGATCCCTTCACATTTGAATGAGTGGCTCCGGTTGAACAAGTTGTGGGGAGAAAAGTCAAAATTGGGTTGAACCAGTCAAAATAAGGTGATTTGACCAGTCAACCGAGTTTGAAGATGAGGATTGATAAATTTGTAATAGATATTTCTTTTGAAAAAAGGTTAATAGCATTTTGTACCCCTCTACTATGATAAATTAACAAACTTACCCCTCTACTAAATTTTTGCACAAACATACCCTTCCATAATAAAGGGGTACAAAATGCTATTAACCATTTGAAAATAATTTGGTAATATATAAATGTAGATTAGTGAGATTATTTTAAAATATGTCAAATATATGCATAATTTATTTGGTATTAAAGGTTTTTTCACATATTATGTTAAAAACCGACTTGAACTATTTGAATTTGATTCACTATTAAATCTGAAACCAATTGTCAAACCGGTTTGATTGCTTAATCCGGTTTCACAACCTTTGATCAACACTGAATACACCGGACCGGAGCACTGAAGAATTACTCATTCTATTATGATCGACAGAGAGAGAGAAAGACAAGGGCTTGGAAGGAGACTACGCGGAAATAATTTCCACGACACGAGTTCTACCGAGTCCGGGTCCGAAGAAAAAGGGAGGAAGTCGAAACGAATTTGGGCTTCATCGAGAAATTGAATCGGCATCTGACTTTCCAGTCGTCCGAGTTACTGGGGTAGGGGGACATTCAGGTTCGAGAATCGAAAGTGGAGTGTCTCCGAGCTAAAGCAAGATTTCGATTTTGTTCTTTCTTGGGTTGGTCAGTGATCTATTATTGTCAAAACCTTTTTGAGTATTCTTTCCTCCCCTTCTGCTGGGAAGTTGATTTGGGAAGAGTGTTATCATATGGAAAGGGGTTCTAGCATTCTTGCGTATTAGGACTTGCTTATGATGCCAATAGGTCTTTGAGAATGGAAAATAGAAATGGGTTGGACTAATTAATGTAAAAATTGGAGTGGACGCGGTGTGAATTCTCATGATTAGGTTAAACTTTTTATCCCCGTAATTTGTGTCCCTGCTAGTATGAGCTCAAGTTACTCAATTGCATTGCTGGGCATGGATGTATTGTGATAACGGTGCTCCTCTTTTCTAAAGTTAGGTGCTTTTGAATATTTTGAATCACCGAATTTGTTCTGCTAGGTGCTTCTTGGCCTGTTGCAACCATGAGGATCACTGTAATGACTTCTGATGAGCAAATAAGTTCTTTGGATGTCGATCCCAATGAAACTGTAATTACTCTGTTCCCCCCGAACTTTCTTTTATCTCATGGCTTCTACTTTTATTTCTTGGTTTGTGTTCAATTTTGTATATCGGTTTTCATTCCGAATCCTTTCTTCTTTTTTCATCGGTTGTAGGTTGAGAACATAAAAGCATTGCTGGAGGTGGAGGTGGGGTGTTTCTCCTTTTACTGCTGTGCTGTTATATTATGTTCGTTTTTGTTTCCTGCAAGCAGAATGACAAGAGCTTGAGAATCCAGTGCACAATAAGCTACTGTTGTTTTCATTCATGTTTCTTGGAAACAAAAAAACAAGAAAACTTGAGCACAGTGGGAGCTCGGATTGTCTTGTTAATGTAGTTTCTTTTACATTATTGGGTGCTTTCTTAATGGCTTCTCTTGTTTCATTTCCTGATCATTATTATTCATCTATGGACAGACTCAGGTGCCTCTCCAGCAACAACAATTGTTGTATAATGGCAGAGAGATCAGGAATGATGAGAAATTGAGTGCTCTGGGTGTTAAAGACGATGATTTGATAATGATGGTTTCGAAGGCACAAGGGTATGTCGATGATTCAGTTAGTTGCTTATTAATTACTACGGTTGATAGAGTAGCCTTCATGTTCATCTAGTTGGTGCCTGGACTACAAATCACTTCTGGTTTAACTGGCTTCTAGCAGGATGCTGTTTGTAGTTAAGCTTTCTTTGCTCAGTTACAGTATTGCTCAATATTCATGTGTTAGGATTGGCAGTCAGAATATGTAAATTCTAAAACTTGAAGTGCATAGAAGCATATATTATTGGTTCTGTCCAGGAGCCGTCTACTTGGCTATGCTAATTTTGCTGAAACCAAGCAGCCGGGTGTAACTATCAAAGAAATGCAATTGTATGTTTGTAATTTTCGTTGATGAAGGTCTCTTTGCTAGGGCTATGTTCTCTCTGTTCAACCTTTTTCCTTTCTGGTACTCTTGTGACATTTCATTAGGATGCCTGGTCCCTCATTATTGGTCATATTTGTTGTATGGTACTAGCCACTTCACTCTCTCTGTGTTTTATGTCAACCTATTTTCCTTCAAAAGTTTGCATGCACATTTATGAGAAACATTTCCCCTACTTTTAATTGAGCTCTGCATGCTTGCAGGAGGCATTGCTTGATATGTTCGATTCCTTGTGTTATTTAATACTATATGTGTGTGTGTAAATGATACAAGGTGTTTTTTTTCCAGCCCCGGTTCACAAGGCATGAGCTCCCGTTCCAATGTCCCTTCGGAGAATGCTGCAGCCTTTCAAGAGCATGTTCGGCGTGATCCAAATTTAATGTCCCAACTGTTTCAGGTCACTAGTCATTCTTTATTGTCTGTAATTGGCTCTATCCTTTGGAGCCATGCATATATGATCATTACATTCCCATTTTGACGATGCTGCTATAGTTGGAAGCTTTGAGATTCCTTTCTGCGCCTTATCCCCTACTTTCATATCCTCTTTTTGGGAGCTGTGGAATTGGCTATCTGAACATGCATTTTATGAGTTCGCCTTATTCTGCGCTCCTACTTTTGGATTTAGTCCAGTTACGGTGCTGATTGGTGACTTTATTTACTACTGGGGTTCATGAACATCTGTAGTAGGAAGTGTAAAGCGCTGTTATGCTTTTACCCGAGGCTCCTTGTGGTGCTTCTTCTCTTACTTGGTTACCTTACGTTGCTTCTTTGTTTTCTTTATATTATTTGCAGGCTGACCCTGAACTTGCACAACTCGTTCTTGGGAATGATCTCAACAGACTGCAGGAGCTGTTGAAGCTACGCCAGAGGCAAAGATCTGAGTTACACCTTCAGCAAGAGGCTGAACTTGTGAGTAACTTCTGTCTAGCTACACCATTGTTTCATTTTGATGTTATTTGCTTGAAGTTATTCAACTCATTTTTACCATTATTCCTAATTACTATTCCCACTACTCAAAGTCAAAATAGATTGATATCTAAAGCCTAAGAGCTGAGTTAGTGGTAAAAGGTGGATTAAACTTCCAACCGATCATAGGTTTGAGCCATGCGTCGCAGTTTGAATGGTATTATATAGATAAAGACTCCAGTTGTTGCAGCAGGTAGTCACCTGTAGCCAGTGGCGTAGTCGGACTTGGAATTGACTGGGGTTCTTAAAATTGTTTAAACGTTTTAGTTTGTGTATCTAATGAACTTTGAGTTGATTGTTGTCCTTAGATGAGCTAATATCAACCAAAGTATGGGGTCCTAAATACAAAGGATCATACTAAACCGTACACATCTAAAGGATTTTGTTGCCCCGTTTTTCCCAAGTGGGGTCCTAGGACCCCTCTCTACACTTCCAGCTTAAAACTTTTAGACTTGCAATATTTCAATAAATTGATCCCCACAATTTACTTTATCATCTTTAATTCATCTACGTTCATATTCTATTTTTGTTGCTTAAAAAACTTGAAAAGCTTATGGGATCATTTTAGTTAATTTACAATCATACACCTAGTTAATTTTTTTCCTCGGCCACAAAATGCTAACTTAAAACTTTTCTAATCGCACTTGATTCAAATTGTACTATTTGCTCATGTTGGGAAATTCTCCTAAGCGTCTCCTACTGGTTGAAACAAACAGAATTGATGTATAGGTATGAAACTTTAGATCAAAGCATAAAACTTCCCATGTGGTCGTCATCTAACTTGTTTTTCTTCTTCTCCTTTTCCAGTTATAATGAATTAGAAGATGACATTTTATTTTATTATTTCTCCTGTTCAATCAGGCACTGCTTGAGGCTGATCCTTTTGATGTTGAGGCTCAAAAGAAAATTGAAGCTGCCATTCGCCAGGTCAGTTTTACCTATCGGAGAGTGATGGCCAAGACAAGCAGACACATTTTTTATGTTTTTCCTGGGACAAACAAGCTCATAACATGCTATTGTCAGTCTGTGTAGGAAATTGGTGCTCATAGGTTTAAATTGCATTCTAGATGCTTCATACTGCTTTGCTAGTGCTCATTTGTTCCCAGATTCTCTTACGTCTGAGCTGCATTTTCTCTTGCAGTATAACCTTTCCAATTGAGAAGTTTTAGATTAGACTGGTTCAGTAGACACTCTTGGTATATTGTTGACTTCTATTAATGTGCATGCCACAAATCTCACATGGACATGGTCAAGATAACTTCATTTCTTCTTTCATTCTGATACGCAGAAAGGCATTGATGAAAATTGGGAAGCAGCTCTGGAGTACAATCCTGAAGCTTTTGCTAGGGTGGTAAGTATGCTCTTCAACCTAATTAACCACCGCTGCTATTCACATGGTATGTTTTGATTTGGCTGCTGTCTGAAATGCTTCAGATTATGCTGTACGTGGATATGGAGGTCAATGGTGTTCCTCTGAAGGTAGAGGTTGCAAGTTACAACTATTATTAGAATTTATGTTCTGTTCATCCTCCAATTATTCCTGCTCTCACTTGTGACTGGTCTGCTATGTTATTACCTCAATTCACTGGTTCATTATCAGCAGTGACTATAAATGAACTTTTTCTAGTACGATTTCTTCATTTGTGTTTCTTGTATGATTAGTATGTTCATTATGCTGGAAGCTGAATCATAGTACATATAATTTCTTTAATTTCTTGTAGGCATTTGTTGATAGTGGCGCTCAATCAACAATAATATCGAAAAGCTGTGCTGAAAAATGTGGGTACGTGCTATTGTCATTGATGATTTGTGAATTAAAGCATCACATGTCTTACTGCATAGTGAAGTCTTTGAACTTACAGCTAGAAGGGTGCACTTTCAGCTCTTAAGTCTCCAGGCTATCATTTTGAAAAGTTCCACTTTAATTAATGATTCTCATTTTAGGAACCAACTTTATGAACTTTAATTGGGTAAGCAACCATTATTCTAGTGTTCAACTTCTGAAGTTATAAGTTATGGTTATGGAGAGTATCTCCAATTTTCTGCTATGAGTTTCTGATCTTGTAATTTACATGATGCCCTTTTTTAGGGCATGTACATCCCTTCTACATTTTGTCATTATGTAGTAGCATTCATAACTTGAATCTTCATATTCCGAGATAATTTCTGTCGCCTACTTGAGTTGTACCCTACCTTGTTAACGCTCATCATGATTCATGTTGGATGACACCCGAGTGAAACAACTTTTGAATCCACATTTATTAGTGGATATTTTTTTATAGCCACATCATTTGAAGCAACTCACTGGATGTTCCACCTTGTTAACGCTCATCGTGATTTATCTTGGATGATATCCGAGTGAAACAACTTATCAATCCCCATTTATTAGTGAGATAGTTTAAATAGCCACATCATCTGAACCAACTCATTGGATACTCCATTGCTTTAATTATTACTGGACTGACTTATTACAGATTGCTGAGGCTTTTAGATCAGCGCTACAAAGGCATTGCGCATGGTGTTGGTCAGTCAGAGATATTGGGCCGAATACATGTAGCTCCAATCAAGGTACAGTTTTCTATCATCATAGTAACGGTTATCTATTATTACTTTTTTTTTAAGTCATTATCTATTATTACCTCTGCTGCACATACCTTTCCAGTCTACAGTGGACTTCTGCTTTATCTGGTAACTTATTTTTGTTCATGTAGATCGGTAATATATTCTATCCTTGCTCCTTCATGGTGCTGGATTCTCCCAACATGGAATTTCTCTTTGGGCTTGACATGCTCCGCAAGCACCAGGTACAATCATCGTATGCCATAAGCATGAGTTCCCCTAAGTTTCGATCTTTTCTGACCTAGTCCCTTGTCTGCAGTGCATTATAGATTTAAAGGAGAATGTTCTACGATTAGGTGGTGGCGAAGTTTCAGTACCATTTTTGCAAGGTAGTAATGTAATTTGTGCATTTCTCTGATGTGTGTTCTTTGTGTGGTATTGCATGTAGTGTGTTAGAAATGATATTTTGTTAAACATTAGGGTCTATTGTTTGTCCTTTGTGTGCTACAAATCTCATTCTTTATGATGTTTAGCTGCTCACTGGTTACTGTATCCATGAACTACCAATGTTTCAGAGAAAGACATCCCATCTCGTTTCTTGGATGAGGAAAGATACTCCAAAGAAGCATCTAGCTCTGGAAACCCGGTAAGCATACTTCTCTTGTTGGTTTGGTAAGTTTCTGCCATTGTTGTGATTATCACTGGTACTAGTACTTCTCTGTAGGTTGCTATGGTATCTGATTTACTAACCTCAAGGAATTTGACAAATGCCAAGATTTCCCCGAATGAGGCATGAAGTTGAACTTGTTTATTTTATTCCCTACATGTCCTTAAACTTGTAGAATGAGTTCTTACATACTTATATTGTTAGGATTAGTTTGAAAGCCTGCCAGTGGAATATTGCTCGAGATATTGCGCTAATTGCTCGGCTGTCTGACTAGAAGTGTTGGCATGCTTCGTATATTCCAACCTGTGTAAAGCCTTGGAAATTGGAAATCTTATGGACAGGATACTTGTGCAAATTTTTATTTGCATCTTAATTCAGTTAACCTCTGAGGGCCCGCGATGTCTTTGGTGACAATTGACATGAAATAGTCATCTTAAGAACACATGTTTTGCTGTTGGGCCATGTGTCTTACTGATTTAAGGAGCTACTATTGCCTGTACTTGCAACCTCAGTCTGAGATTGAACTATCTGAACTTTCAAAACCCGTGTCTTAAATTACAGTTCCCTTAAGCTCTAATTCTATCTTTGAGAGGTCCAAACAATAATGTACTCTTTTGTATTGATATCTTTTTGTGTTTTTAGGCTGTACAAGCAGCATCAAACAAGAAGAGTGATGCTCCAGTAGTAGGATCATCATCATCTGGTTAGTTTCCTGAAAATCTTGGATGAAGTGGAACTATACTTGTGTGATTGGCCAAATTTATCAAGCTAAGGATTGGGTCCATATCTTTGATTGTTTGAGATTTCTAGGACTTGTCTATGTAATGCCAATAGTTCTTAAGTTCATCCCCATGAGTAGCATTTTCATCGTTTCTTTCCCTTTTGACAGGACCTGCTAGCGGCAATGTGATGCAGGTAAATGTCTGCTGTTAATGTTCCTTTTTTCTCTCTTTACCTATGGTCTTGCATTGTCATTGAAATGCTCCCTTTGCTTGTACTGATGTGTGCTAATCAACTGGCAGTTGGTTCTTTGTTAGATTTGGAAAAAGAAAACGTCTCGTGGTCTGTGTAACTGTGTCAGTTATTGTTTGGTCATGATTTTTAGTTTAAAGCATTTATCTTTGATTTGTAGGGCCCTGATTTTGAGGCCAAAGTAGCAAAACTCGTGGAACTTGGGTTTGGTAGAGAAGCTGTGATACAAGCTCTTCAACTGTTTGGAGGGAATGAAGAACAAGCTGCTGGATTCCTCTTTGGTGGCTAAAGGAAAAAAGGGAACAGAATGGATGTGTGGTTCGCTTTGAAATTTTAGGCAGTGCAAAATTGACAGGTTGACCATGACATTGTAACCCTCTGTTCTACATTGTTGGAAATTTAATGGGATTTTCTGTTGGATTCACTTTGGTGGCTAAAGAAGCCCATGTTGGAAAAAAAAAAAAAAACAAGGAACGGAGTGGATGTGTGGTTCTCTTTGAAATTTACGAATTGCAAAATTAACAGGTGACCATGACATTGTATCCCTTCGGGCTACACTACGTTGTTGGACGTTTCATGAGATTTTCAATTGTTGTCTTTTTGAATTGCAGGCGATGACATGGCGTTTTGCCCTGCCAGTTAGAGGGATGATGTCTTATCTTTTATATTAGTTAATTTATCCTTGTACTCAGAACTATATTCGATCTTCTAAATCACATATATATTGATGAATGCCAGTTTGAACTATGATGAATCATAATTGTCGGTTATTTTTTACTTTTAGTTTAGAGAATTACAAATTCCTTTTAAAAAAAAAAGATTAAGGATTGAGGTTATATATTAGAGATTAGAAATAGTATCATATTTTGAACTCAATTTAATTCACAGTATGGATAGAGATAGCTCATTAGAAGTACATGGTGTATTTGAAGTATATTAGTCTATTTGAAGTATATTAGTCTAACCAATATATGTATAATGTTTTGTGTTTTTTATTTATAGTCTCTTGATTGGTGATCCAGTGATTGTTTTGCTTGTTGGCTATAGAATATTCTTCCTTTCTAATGTATGCGTTGTTTCTTGCTGTCATGCACTGAATCATCGAAATCCAGATTACCATGTATGTGCAAGATTGTCAAACCGGGTTAAGTCATTGAGTCGGTCAAGCAAGGGGTTTGAGATTTATTGGTCTGATTGGGTTCCGACCGGGTTAAGCCGTTTTATACATTTTCTAAAAATATATACAAATAAGCTAGTAATTAAAAATTAACGACTGCAATGAAATTTATCTTACATGTACCTATTAAAAACTTATTTCCCACAAAATATAACCTACCTAACATCCATGAGTCACCCACCATCTTCCTTCCTTCTTTCCCCCTCCTCCCTTTCCTCTCTCTTCTTCTCCCTCTTTAAGGGTCAGACTAGAGAGCTTTCTGTAGGCCGTTTTGAAGTCTGACTCAGGTCCAACCGGGTCCAATCAGGGGCCCGATAGGGGTTTAACAACCTTGTGTATGCACAATATCTAGTCTACCATGCATGAAAAGTCGAGGTAGAAAAACAAGAGTGATGAATGAAAAATGAATTCGACTTCGTATATTATTTACTAAACAAAAGCATGGCTACACATGGTTCCACCTCCTAAACAACGTGGAGTGCTTGTCCCGCTCGTGGGAGAAAATGCGACAACATGGCTGCTTCTCGTAATTAAGTTACGTGTAGTTTGGGAGGGGCTAAAACGCACCCCCAAATTTTAATCTAAGATTATTATGTGTATATTTATATATTGAGAAAGCATTAGATGGTCGTAGGATGGAGGCTATTAGGTCCCCTCTTCCAAAATTTAGGCTCAATCGTGGGAAGATGTTGCATCTTGTTATTTTCAACCCTTTCTCACTTTAAACCCCAACCTCGCCATTGACTTTTAGAGTTTAGAATCGTGAAATTGATCAATGTTCATGGCAAAATGGAGAGATTTTTGACCTCTTTAGATTTCGGATTCCTTTACAATGAGGCTCAACCCCCTATTTATACGAAGATCCCAAGGCATGAAAGGACATGATGCTAATAGACTTTACATAGGGTTTTCCCCTTCAAATTTGAACTTGGACTCATTTTCCTTGGCACAATAGGAAGCTTCTATAGCAACAACGGGTTTGGCGAGAAACTTGAGCCTCCGTGGTTTTCATGTTGTCAGAACAGGACAAAAACTAGTCCACACGTCTCTCTCGAGTTCGTAGACCTCTACCAAAAAACAGATGCAATGGGTTGTGGCGGCCATGCCAGCCGCTTGCGCCGCTGTGAATATGCCCTCCTCTAGGGACTTGGGCTTTGCTTCGTATCCATTTCGAAATACAACCTAGGCCTCCTTGTACCTAGTGATGGCAACGGGTCGGGTCGAGAACGGATAGTGTATATTCGTTACCCTACCCAAATCAATTCGGGCTTTATCCATACCCATACCCACACCCACATAAGAAACGGATAGAAAATCAAAATCAAAATCATGCCTATACCCGTTTGGGTTTCGGGTATCCACGGTTAGCCATGGATATAATTTCTCTTTATAACTCCAATCAATATGTTAACATTCACACGTATTCTCGCATCAAATAAGAAGAAACGTACGACAGTAATTCACTAGAATGAAGAAAATTAATTAAAGAAACATAATTTCATGAAACTATTATATTTATATGCTAAATATAAAATATGTTAGAGAAAAAAAATGATTATTTCTAGACAAAATACACATGCATATTTATAATCGGGCGGGTTCGGGTTGGATAGTGAGAAGATCATACTCACCCATTACCCGCAATATTGGGTTCGGGTTTTACCTACCTGATTAGGCCAAATTCGGATGGATATCCATGGGTACGGATATTTTTGCCATCCCTACTTGTACCTTAAAATCACCAAAAGCTATACACATGACATCAAATAATACAAAATCATGCCTAAGATCTATTAATGGCACATTGGACAGTTTATTGTATTTGTATACAAAGTCAACCAAGAATGTGCCGACAAGGAATTATATGATCCTAAAATATGAGTAGAAAAATAACACTTTTCAAGTGTCCTCTGGTGAACAAAATCATAGCTGTGCAAAATGGATTTTGCGAGTGTTTTCTAAGTGAAAATTCGGTCATCAATCACGGAGATTTTTTAGTTGAGAATTTGAGAAATACTAAGTGTTTTGTTTGCTGGGTAGCTGATAGGGAATGAAAATGAGTGTGTTTTGATCAAGCGGGGAGCTGATCGAAAGTATTATATGTGACTGTGTTCGAATTTGATGGAAGTGGTTTTGATTAGAAATAATTAAACCAGACCGGTTTGAACACCTGTTATTAACGTTGCATGACTATAATTTGACATGACAGTTAGCTAAAAAAACAACGTGTCATCATTTCAAATTAATGACATGGAAGGTTGTTATGGATAAAACTACGCTTCATTACATCCCTCCTTGTTTCCTTCAAGCATTATGTCCTTCATATAGCCACGGTCGTCATGGATAAGTGCAATCTTTAAATGGAACGATGCACAGTTTGGCAATGAAGCAATATAATGCTTCTTGTCCTATAAATAGAGGAACTTGACTAATGGAAAGGAATACATGAAAAAGATAAGTTCTTCTTACATTAAAAAAAAATTCAAAGTGCGCTTAAGTGTTGCAATTCTTTTGACTCCTCAGGATTCGTTCGATAGGCTTCCTTGTTTGGAATCGTAGCTCCAGGAACGAAATCAATCTGATGTTCGATCCCTCGAATAGGAGACAGTCCCTTGGGTGCTTCTTCTGTAAAAACATCATCGAACTCCTCCAATACAGCTTGTGCCATGGGAGGAACTTCTTGGACCAGCTCCTGATTCAGTAGTACATCTTTGTAGATGATCACGATTAACAGTTCTCGTTCATATACAGCTTGCTTCATGTAACCACTTCGTGCTAGCATAACAGCTTTGGATTCCACAGCACTGGAACCTTCTTCTCCTTTCTTGGTCGAGACACTGCTTGCCTTCTCCTGCTCTCGACGTTGCTGCATTTGGAGTTGATCTCGATAGACTTCACTTGGAGACATAGGCTTCAACAAGAATTTATGTCCTCCATGTAGTAGCTTGTATTTATTAGTAACTCCATCATGATGTACTTGTCGATCAAACTGACGTGGCTTGCCAAAAAGCATACGCGCTGCTTGCATAGGCACTACATTGCACAAAATCTCATCCTTGTACCCACCAATTTCGAATCTCATCAGTGCTTGCTTTGTGACTTTGATGGATCCATGATCGTTGCCATTGCAACTTATAAGGTTTCAGATGCTTCAATGTAGGCAGCCCTAGCCTCTTCACTGCACACGCACTCACAACATTCGTGCAACTCCCTCCATCGATCACTAGGGACAGCAATTTCCCATCAACCACGCACCTCGTATGAAATATATTTTCTCGTTGTTCACTTTCCTCCTTAGGCTGCGCAGTCAACACTCTTCTTGCTACAAATAGACTACCCGGAGGTGCTTCTATCTCAATGGATTCATCAATCTCCGAATCGGTGGCTTCCTCGACTTCCTCTTCAAAAACATAATCACCATTATCGAGAAAAATCAAGGTATTCTTATTAGGGCATTGGCTCGCAATATGCCCTCTTTCGTGGCATTTAAAACACTAAATTCCCCCTGACGATCCACCTTGCTTCATAACTGGATTTGCACCATCAACCTTTGCCGCAAGTCTTGGAGCTTCTTTCATGGGCATTTGCGGCTTAGGGTTGGTTGAAACTCCCGGATTAGTTCGTTGGGAATTCGTAGAGGGTTGGAACCTCCTGTTTCTTAGCTGCCGTTCCACTTTGCTTGCCATATCCACCAAAATCTTAAAGCTCAAGGAACGGTTGTATTTCCACCACATTCTTGATCTCACAATTGAGACCATACAGAAAATGAGCAATGGTAGCCTCGCGATCCTCTCTAACATCAACTCGTATCATCAAAACTTCCATGTGATAATTTTCAACACTTTTAGTACCTTGCCGAAGAAATTGGAGGTTCTGATACATATCTCTCATATGAGAATTCGGCACAAATCGATCCCTCATTATACCCTTCATCTCGTCCCACATTTCAATAGGATGTTGTCTATTTCTCCTCCTTCTCGTGCATAAATGATCCCACCAAACCAGAGCATAATATGAGAATTCGAGGCATCCCAACGCATATGCTGTTGTAGTTCATAAACCAAGGGAGGAGGAGCTCGATTTTCCCTTCCCTTTCTTCTTGTCGAGGTCTA